TCAAACTTACTAGCCCCCAGTTTTACTCCTGCAAAAGAGCGAGATTTTGAAGGGTAAAGTATTGTACATGTACCTCAGTAGTAACACAACAGCCAAGTGGCTTAAAATGTTCTAAGTACAATTGATACTGTCTGACTTGTAATGTTTGTTGCTTTATGCACGCCTACCTGAGTACATTCTTTCTTTGGAGTAGGCTTGCTGTCATCTCGCACACTAGTCAGAAGCAATACGAAATTGATAAGTATTAATACACATTGTATAGTATGCATGTATTAACTGTTAATTAATGATTATTATCAATCAGGCATTGTGTAAAATAATCACACTGAGAACATACATACCACACTGTTTTGCCTGGGACACGGGTTTGAATCTGGTGAGGATAAAGAAAAAAAAATATAAAAAGTAAGAAATTATGAGCTGATCAGTAAACATCTTTTTGAAGAGTTGTTTCCTAGGATGCATGCACAAACTTAATATATTTAAACTCGTTACATTCTTCTGAGATTTCATGGCCACTAAAACTAATAAATTTAGCCACTGGTGGGAATTCCTAATTTGGGGCAGATCCAAGAGTTGGTGAAGGGATGTCCAGAAAATTGTCTGCCACAGGAGATTCATTCTCTTTGGTCAAGTCCAGGGGCATGCCTCCCCTGGCCCCTCCCCCAAAGATTTTGAGATTTAGACAATTGGAAAGGTGATTTCCAGTGTTTTGAGGGATGATTGTTAGTTGTATAATATTATCTTTGAAATCATCTCTGTTTGAGATGTTTAAACAAGCACTATATGAGAAAGTTTTGGGCTGGTGGCAATGTTTTAGCTAAAATTGTGGCCCTCAAAACCTTCTCATTCCTTACGTAAAACAAGGAAAAGGTTCTCATCTATCAATCTTTACGTTATTTTTGCTCTTTTCCAGTTACTTTTTTTTTTATTTCCAAAGATAGCATAATATTGTTAGTGACGTTTGTCCACTGAGGGTTTCGTCAGAAACAGCAAATGTAAAAAATTAGATTTTCATTTCAGTTTACTGTTCTGACCAAACCACCCTGGAAACCACCCCTGGATCTGCCCCGGCTACTTACTTACCATGACTTCCAGATCTCTTGATGTCAAATTTTTCACATATACACAAGGGTTTTCTATTTCAGACTGAACACCAGGGTATTGTGCTGTTGCAATCATATATCCTAAGGGTCTCTTGGTAATATCATCTGCAGCACTGATGTTCCTGTCATACTGTTCAGGAGGAATCAGCTTGAACTCTGGGCAGTCGCTAAGTTGTGAAGTGGACACTGAAATGTAATGAAATTACAAAAAGTGTATTTTCTGGGAACAACTCTATATACTGCCTTATCCATGATTGGCACTGAGGGTTGTGAAAGCTTTATGGTTAAAAGTAAACAGTGTGCCGGATTCTAGAGAAGCAAGCTCAAATCCTGTAGACCAAGGTTATTGTGTTATGTTCTTGAACATGTTAAGATGTATTACAAGTACTCTCACAGAAGTTGGGTGGAGGAACATACAAAATGAACAGAACTTCTGCATAACAGTGACTGGTCAATTACCATCAGAAATTTAAGAAGGAATGCCTGGCCAAAAGGAAACAGAATTGATATATCTGGAACCTCCATTGGAACTACCAGAGTGGAGAAGCACCCCATCCAGGGGGGAGTAAAAGTAGTTCTCTCAGTTTCAGGGTACAGGTAAGGTTAAGTCTGGATACGAGCCCAGTGGCCCATCAGGCCAGTGCTTATCTCCAGTTTCTAGGGCATGAAGCAACTAAGGGTAATTTTACTCTCCCCACCCCTTCATAATGGATGGGATAATGGGATGCCAGTCCGTCACATGCTTAGAAGTAGAGTTAATCATTGCCACTCATGAGCCAATTTAATCCTGTTTTTCTCCCATAATTCTAATGCAATAATGTTTACTTGGATTTGAACTTATTTTTAGCTTGCAAACTCCAAGAACCACTCTGTTTTGCCAGTTTGAGAGTGTTAAATTCAAGCCATTGTGGCCCTCTATTCGAGTAGGGGTGGGGGGTATATATCAATATTTCATGGAAATGCAATTGGCGGCAGAAAATTCCCTTGAGCGCATGCACATGCCAGCTAGTGTGCAAATTTGTTTCCTAAAGAGTTTATGTTGATGACAAAATTATCCCGATAAAACTTATAGTTTACAGTGACTAATTTACATCCACTATTCTTCATATTTCCTACAAGCTAGTTAAACAAACAAATATGTATAGTACAGTACTTGCAAAGAGTAATTGAAAATCTGTGGGCGGTCCTGTCCACAAATTTCCAGTTTTGTGTTCCTAACTCTCAAATCAAGACTTAATCTGACAATAGATCTAATTAAACTTAATTAAACAGGACTTCCATTTGACGATCAACTGACAGAAGCAAGTATGACAGCTTCAAAACAACTGAAACGGCAAGTAGATTCCGTACCAAGTACAACGAGCACAACAAACACATTTCATAGTATTCAGTATTAGCTTGGGCATCTGTACGAAAAACCGCAATCTGCCGGATTGAAACATCAAAGAAAGGAAACAAACTTCGTGGAAAGAATTGTAAGATCACAAACGGTGAACTTTATGCTTGTTCAAAAAAAAGACTCTAGAAGGAAATAAGCTTAGCTACGAATTCTCTCGCTTTCCGCGCGATCAATTACTAAAATGATTGCCGTAATTTCAGCAAAAATTGTGACATGGTAATACTCACCTGGGCTTATTATTACACTAAAGGTAAGGAAGATAAAGAAACAAAGGTTTCGAAATCTAAAATCCATTTTTTTGGCTGAACTTCCAAATATTTTGCCTAATGGGAATCACACGCGACTTCCTCGCGTTTGAGAAACTGACATTCTTACCCAGGGTGGGCTGGGGATATGTCAGCCCCCGAAATGATCCCGAAATGATCCCGAAATGATCCCCAGTGAATTTTAAGAATGCCGACAAAACATGGGAATGTGGATAGACTGCTGGCAGTCTGTTTTTCTCTCGAAATTCAGTAGGGGCTATGAGGGGAGACGTTTTTGCTAAAGGGGAATGGGACGCGACATGGGCGCCGTACTCGGCCTGCCCTTGTCCCGCCCTCTTCCCTACTCGGGAATTTGTAGCAAATTGATATATGGTATCGATAAGACCAAATAAAAGACAGTACAAGAAAAATAATAATCGGTAGCGACTTTATTATCCTGTACATTTTTTTAGCATTTTATGTCATTGTCACAGAGGGGTTTGTAATTCGCGTGACTGTCACGCATCCTTGCGTGACAACCGCTCTCCCAAATTTGGACAGTATTGCAAACGAGGTTTACCTGGGTCCAGCTCCCGTCCAAACACAAAAGTTTTGCACAGAAACTGAACAGCTAAGTACAATCCATATTTCACGGCTAACAGGGCATATATTTAGACTTCCTGAAAGCTATCATGTTCTACACATGACATATCGTATGAGCTTCCTTCTGAAGGTATCATATACAACTCATTCTTTGGAGAACGAAGTCGAAAAACGCGCGGTCGAAGAACTTGAACTTATCCATGGCCAAGGAGTCTTTCATCACTTGAATGTTTTCGTCCCAAAATTATGGATCTAGCTCCTAAAGTAGAATTTTTAAAATTTCATCAAGGATATGTCCGTGGAGTGGCATTTTCGCCTGTGGTAAGATTTAAAGTTATTAATACCAAACTATATACAACTATTTTGGAAATTCTGCTTTCATTTTATCGCAGTTTTAGACAAGTACTGAAATTAGACGTAGTTTAATAGTTTGCGGTGTCCTTTGTGGTGACGAGAGAATGTACTAGATATTATTTTTTTCACCTTTTAGGATCGATACTTGTTTTGCTCTGGTGCGTATGATGGGAAGGTCAACATCTACAGCGCCAAGAAGTGTCATCTTTTGGGGAGTTATCCGGTACAAACAATACCTTGAAATCCTGACATAGTTTTTTGAACTGATCGCTTCGATCATATCCACCAACAAACTATGCCTTAAATGACAATTCATTGCGTCACTGTAAATTTCTTCTTTCAATTCGAAACTCTTTAATTCCCTCTATCAATAATCTCCTATACATTCACTTAAATGTTTACTGTTTCTCTTTGTAGCAGGCACTTGAATGAAAAACATTGCAAGCTTGTTAATATTTTAATTTTTTTTTCTCATCATCTGTTATGTTGTTGATAGTGCGTTTATTTACATAATGTACTTCAAAATGATTGTTAGATTTTTATTGCTGAGGCTGTATTAGGGGGTTTCGGAATACAGGATATTTAGGTAAAAATAAAATGGCATTCTGAAAACCTCTTGGACCTAACATCAACAGGGCGTCAATACTGTAGCATCCCTTGTGAGAAACAATATTAAACAGCATGCAAACAATCCCAATAACAGACTCAGCATGGATGTGGAAAAAGAAAGATCAGCAGACCAATATAATTATTTTTCAACAAAAGTTATCACTTGGCTTACTTTTGGAATTACTCTCTCATCAGTAAACACCAGTAGACAGGCCTGAATCTCTTTCATAAAATGCTCATCGTTTAATTTTGTTTTTCTTGCGATCAACAGATAACAACTCTGAGTTTAGCGAGGAATATAAAGGCTGTTAGATTTACAAGTGATGGACAAAAGGTACATTTGTGCATTCTATCCAAAGAAAGATTTCATAATTGTCAAGGGTTTCATTAAGATTTTCAGCAGGCTGGAAAAGGTTTTCATAGGCAAGCAATACTCTGGGCAAAATCATCCTCACAACTGGTCAGTTTGCCCATTGCTCAGCCCTTAATGGAACCGCTTGAGTTGCATAGGTTTTGAAGATTCACATATTTAACACATAATAATATGGAACCACAATTACAGAATTGAGGACACCTAGTGTCCTCAATTCCGTAATAGCAGGGGTCGGTATCAGCAGGAATTGTTTCTATACATTTCTTTGTAGTTTCAGCCAGGGATTTAGCTTAGCTGTCCTTAGAAGCATGGAGGCACGGTGGCCTCATGGTTAGTGTGCTCCTCCCTGGATCGAGCGGTCCGGGTTCAAGCCCTGGCCGGAAACATTGGGTTGTGTTCTTGGGAAAGACACCTCACTCTCACAGTGCCTCTCTCTACCCAGGAGTATAAATGGGTACCAGCAAATTGTTGAGGAAACCTAACAAATTGCAGGGGAGTGACCTGCGATGGACTACCATCCCATCCAGGGGGAGTAGAAATACTCCTAGCCACTTCATGCTATAGAAACCAGGATAAGCTCCGGCAGCTATAAGCCAGTAGGCTCCAAGGCTTCACTCTCCCTTTAGTAGCAGGGTGTTCGCAAGGAAAGATTTGACTAGCTGTGTACTCTCCCTATAAAAAGAGCATGAACTGATAGCTGGACTTAATATTAAAGAAAAGATACATTGCCTTTTTCATTTTCACTTTCTTGTAAGCCCAGACATACATGTAAGGAAAAAGATACTTTCATTTTTTTTTTACAACCACAATAGTTTTAGGTACAGTACAATAAGCATTAGGCTGTCAAAAGTAACTTCAACACGGCATGATTTTTGCTGGCAACTAATTAGAAACAATTTTTATTTTCGATTTTCAGATTTTGGCATCAACAAATGCCAGACGATTGATAGTTATGGATGTTGAGACAGGAGAACAAGTAGTATCATATGATAATTGTAAGTCACCATATGGAATGAAGTCAGTCAATATTTCATATTCATGTTGAAGTAAACTTCAACTCTTCATGAATGGTGGCACAATCCTCTGAAAGCAGCATTTAATTTTCTTGAGGATTGGAAAGGAGGGAAAACTTGCAAGACCTTTTTTTTTATGTATACAAATCTAACCACTAATTAAAAATAAATAAAAATAAATAATGTATTTAGAGAGGAAGCCACATCAGCCTTAGCTGGTTTTCATGTGGGTCCTCTGTCCTGGTCAAATTGGAATTTGGAAATGTTGGTTTTTGTGGAGGGAGGAAAACCGGGGCACCTGGAGAAAAACCCTCAGAGCAAGGCAAGAACCAACAACAAACTCAACCCACATATGGCACTAGGCCAGAATCAAACCACATTCTTTGGTAAGAGGCAAGCACTCTCACCACTGTGCCATCCCTGCTCCACCCACTGACTTTTGGTGTTAATTATTCAGTGTGAGACTGTGGTTTGAAATCAGTTGTTTTCTGCTAAAAAAAGAACTTCAAAATAAAAGGAGGAGCTTAATTTGCTGTCAATTTCAGTGACTGTGATTCTTTTTTTTTTCTCCTTTCTTTGCTAGGTGTTTACAATGGTCCAGATCGGACTGGGTTGGCAGTGGATTCCCAGACAGGTCCTAACATTGCAACTTGCTGCTGTGTTAATGGGCGAGGTCTTTCCATGTTTGACCTCAGAATGCCCCTTCCAATGGATTTTATCTATGATGTGAGTTGTTTTTTTTATACTAGTAGCAGCAAGTTGTACCTTGATGTATCTAGTAGTTCATAGTCATGCACGCCCTACTCTCCCAACCTGTCTAGATGTATATGCACTGGCAATTTGCACTCGGGAACTTTAGTATCTAAGTTCTTTCTTTTCCTTGCTTCCTTCTTTGTAATTTTTGATTGGTTAATATGTGACATATTTTCCATCCCTTTCCAGTTGCATAGCAACGTTATTCGTGATGTAATGTTTCTTCATGAAAGTTGGCCATGGTGCAAGGGACAGAATGCATTGCTATCAGTTGCAATTGATGGCACAGCAAAGGTACAAATGAAGACAAGAACACAATTTTATTAACACACATCTTTCTCTTCATGCAATTCTTTCCCTGCTCAGGGTTATCCTCTGTCAATTATAGTCCAGCACCCTCCGGAGCTCCATAATTTTAGCATTTGTTATGGGTCTCGTGTATTGCTCTCTGATGGCTGAAAGCACTGCATCTTTCAGCAAGCTCGTGCAATCTTTAACACTGAGGATATAGCTCTCACTATTTTTACAAGCTTCTTATCTATATTGATTTCTTTTTTTTAATATTGTCACTGAAAAGGCCCACCAGGAGAGTGTCAATAATATTATTGTTTTACTGTAATTGCTTTTGTTCAAAGAGTGGATTTTTACATGTACATCCATAACTCTTTGAATTTAATTTAGAATTTGAAATGGCAACATTGTCTATTTCAAGGTAGGGGAATGGAAAATTAAATAAAAATATAAAAAATGAATTTCTTCTTTTAAAATAAGAAAGGGTCATTTTAGACTGCTTTTCTGTTCTGATCACTGCTTTAGGTATCTACCATTGATGGACGTACTTTGCAAAGCACAGAGATAGGGTCCATGCTAAACACTGCTGCTCCAACTCCTGAGCCTTTTGGTTCTATGGCAGATGATGGGTTCTATAGTAAGTACAGCCATATTTCCTTGGTTACACATGATATAACTACTTCCACATAATTACTCTAAGTATTCTTCTTCAGTTAAGTGCTTCTTAGAATGATAAAACTTGAAATAAGTATCTACCATTTCTTCAAAAAGTAGGGCTTGAAAAAAACCTTCCAGCTTGTTTTCGAGCAAAAATTAAAGAAATTGTGAGGAAAATTCCAGCTTGCCCTTCTCACATGCAGTTCTCAATTTTTGCTTGCCCTGGGCAAGTCTTCAGCTATGTAATACTATAATGTACCTTCTCTGGGCCCTTGCCCATTGGGCAAGTAAAATTGAAAAGTTACTTGCCTAGCAGGAGAATCTACTTGTCCTGGATGACCAAACAGCACTTTTCCGAGCCCTGAAAAAGTAGACTAAGAAAGAGAATATGAACTGTCAGAAGGCAGCTTTTCTACTAAGTAAGCAACAAGATTCAGACTGATTTCAGGTAAACCTTTTCAGGCTCAATGCATTTTACACAAACTGAAATTGGTTTTAATTTGTTTTCTTTAGGTCTTATTATGTTTGGTGGTGAGTTTCTGACAAGTTTTGTCCCTGAAGTTGGAGTCCAAGAGCAGATGCGAGAGCATGGAAAAGATCCATTGTGGAAAATTAAGTATGAACAGCAAAATTTGTAGAGAGATATGTGGAGACACTAGAAGCCAGCTAATGTTTAGTGTGTTTAACAGTCTGCCCTCTGTCCAGATCAATAGATCTGGGTTCTTGCTCAGGACTAGGTCATTGTGTAATGTTCCTTGGTCTCACAGTGCCTCTCTCAGCTTAGGTGTGTGATTGGGTACCAGTGTGAAACGAAATCCTTTTTCTGAGTTTTTCCAGGCAGGCTGTACATTTAACTATGATGTACTAGCCGGAATGTTATCACCACTAACCCCCTAAAATATCATCTCTTAAACAACACTTCTGTCAGTAATTTGCCTTTCCTCAAAAAAAATTAGCAAGAAACTTAACTTGCCTCTCTTCAAGTAAAGGACAGAATCCACCAACCTAAATGCAAAATTAACAAGCTAAAGGCTATCGGACATGGCTTTTTACACGGTGGTACCAACAAGTTGTCAAAATAACTTGGCAAAATAATGTACAAAATCTTGGGATAGACATGCTTCCAATCCAGGGAGGGGGGAGGGGGTATGCTTAGCAATAGGCCAATCTCGATATATTAAAATTCAGCCTAACACAGTCAGTGCTGTCATTCAGTTTTGAGTCACCTGTACCCGTGTTCTCCACACCCATAGCAAACTTGTTACTTCGTGGGAGAATTCTTTCAACAACAGGCAATTTCACACGAAGCATCAAGGGAAAATCAAGCATATTCAGCCGTAACAGGTGGTACGGGTTATGGCCCTTAATGATAGCCCTGACACTAGACCTCAGCACAAGGCTCTGGGGAATAAACCCCACAAACTCTGTAGTTATTCCCAGAGCCTCATACTGAGGTCTATTGTTTTAGGCTGAATTTTATTGTAATATTTTGAAATTGGTCCATTCCTAGTTGCTTCTTGGAGGTAACTAAATATTTGAATATGTAAGTAATATAAACTTTTGAGTTTATCGTTCAATTTTTTGTTTCAGGTACACTTCTAATGGAAGCACACTTTTTACTGCTTGTGACAGAGGTGTCATTCGAAAGTAAGGGTTCAGTAACAATTATGCTATCTTTTGAAATCTTGTCTACCATCTCTGCTTGGTTAGAATTTTGTTTTTGTCTGAGTGATTTCAGTTCCTGAACCAGACACAGAGAGGTTTTATCGTAATTGTTGTTGTAAAATCAAAAGAAATTGATAACAATCAGATTTTGCCAATCACCTCAGACAAAGATGATGCAGAGAATTGGAACCTGAATTTAAACATGTGTCAGTCAAAATCAGGGTTACCTTTCCTTCTAAACACATACTAGATTGAGTAAGGAATGTTGAAGCTTAGCTCAGCACATCACGTGAGAGTCTGTATTGCAGGTATAAAAGGGAAGGGGCCAGGGAGGCATAAAACGCGAGGAAGAAGCCCCATCCTTCCATCTGCGCCTTGCCTCCCTGTCCCCCGTTCCCATTTAACACCTTTTATACAGGCTATACATAGACCAAATCAGTTTACATCCATTAGTCAATTATTACACTTCCTAACATACTTATTATAAGCAAATTGTTTTGAATGTTACCTGAAAGCAGTCTTGGTGTTCAACTCACGCAATTCTCTCCACACATCAATCAATGCCTGTCAATTGTCATGCAATGCCCCTCACTCGTCAGGCAATACCTGTTACCACTTGTGGACTGAAGGTTTTCATTATGACTCAAACACTACAGTGAAAGAGACCAGTAGTGACCAACTGAAGTAAAAATAATGTGGTTTGAATGAAATGCTTGTCTGATTCTTGTAGATACAGGAGATATCCTGATCATCACGAGTTTGTAGAGGACTTGTTTTGCCATTCAGATGACGTGGAAGACATTGATATTTCTCCTTATGATGAATGTATCCTTGGTAGCTGTTAGCAATTTTCGTGAATGCTTTTATTGATC